TTATTTCGGGATTTGGACCAAAAATTTTGGACTATTACCCTTATTGAATGAATATCGCAAAAACAAAGACACATAAAGTATGTTTATGAATACATGAATATGAGAATGTCACGAAATGCATATATATTTATGACAATGGATTTTTATATGTACAAAGACCCAAATAAAAATTTTCATCAACCATGAATGTGTATGCAAAAAAATGCAATGTATGTTTCATACGACCCTATTATTCATGAATCTATATACTTGAAATGCGATGACATATTTACATGAATGGTGAGATGTATTCTTATGACTAATGCAACATACTTGTATGAAATGCATGGACCTACTATATGTATGAGATATGTATGTATGAAATGTAATGCATGTGTTGTGCTGGCTTAATAAAGTAAACACTACCTTAAGATACATAACGAGATAGAATGCATGCATTACTTATCAAGAAGTGCATGAGATGCATGTGCTACCTATTGATATGGATGTGATGTAATGCACGTATTATCCTATTATTATGCGCATGGGATGAGATACATGTATGATGTATGAAATGCGAAAGATGAAATAAAATACAAAATTTTTTATTTTGAGAAGGAAAAATGAAATAAATAAGGCTTAAAAATTAGTCTTTATTCGGCCAATAAACAAAGAATTTAAAAAAAATCCTTAATCTTTGAAAATGTTCTTTTATCTTTTTTTTTCTTTTTTTTCTTTTCAATGATTGACCTAAAATAAATACCACATATTCAAATATAATGTACACAATCAAAAAAAAAAAAAAAAGAAAATAAAATGACTTAAGAATTCAAAACAAACAAGTAAGAGAAATAATATAATAACCATACGATAAAATAATATAATGTATAATGTCCTAATTTTTGGTAATTTTCTAAAAAGGTGTCATGGCTCTATCCTAGGCAGGTTTCTTATGGCTCACGAGATGCTGGGTTATGATTTATATGTCTAAAGGTTCCCAGACTATTCTTCACATCATTGCCTATTATAGACTAGTAAGGTTCCCTGATCCTCGTCCATTATGGATTATTAACGGAAATGGTTCAATCTGAGCGGAAGTGTTTTGCTAGCAAATGCGAGGGTTATCACCTTACGAGAGCGTAGCTACTTCACTTCCTCCTAAAAAGGATGAAGCCCCGGGTATAGAGCTCATGCATACGAGTGAATATGCAAAGTGTGTGCAAAGTAATGTATTAATCAAAATAACATGAATAAACCATAACCAAAAACAAAATCAAAATGAAGTAATAACTAACACATAATTTATTTTATTTATTAACATATATATTTTTGAAAAATTAAAATAAAGGAGATTAAATGAAATGTCAAATAAAACCAATTAAATCCAAAAATTCTTAATAGTGCATAATTAAAAGTTTAGGCTTGACTCTCAAATTTAGTCCCCAGCGGAGTCGCCAAGCTGCCGTAACGGTTTTGGGATCGCCAGACATAAAGTGTTTTAAAATCGAGAGAAATAAAAGGGAGTCGCCACCAATCTTTGTTAGGGTGTGATTGGCCATCCAAAAGTTTATCTTTTTAATAAAACTATAAAAATAAATTTAAAGTTTATCAAAAAGATAAATTTCGATCTACGAAAAATCAAGTTGGGTCCGAGAGTCAGTTACGTGTGGGGAAGGATTAGCACCCCCACAACGCTCATAAATTGGTACAATTTAATTACGCGCTATTTTCGGTGTTGGATAAAAATGATTTTAATTTGAAATTTAACACTAATTCCCTTCACTTGGAAAAAAAAATTTTGCTAAAATTTTTATTTAAAAATATTGAGAAAATCTTTAAGTTAAAGAATTATCTTAAAATTCTCCAACATCTAGGTAGAATTTAAAATAATTTTTTTTGCTTAAGATTTAACACAATAATCCTTAAAATGAAATAATACTCTTTATAAAAAATTATTAGTGACTATCCAATATCTAGGCAGAGTACCAAGAATTATTTTTTTCGGAATGCTATATTTATTTTATTTTGTAATATCACATTTTTTTAAGTATTATTCTTTTTTATTATAAAATATTTTATCATCAAATAATGAATTAAAAATTAAAGACATAATAGTGTAAAAAATTACTGATAATAACATGCTAACGTATGTATGCCAATGAATGTTATGTAGGATGAGATGCAATTTAAAAGTTGGATTCTTAAGTATAATGACACCACCCTGACTCTCCAACATCTAGGCAGAGCTTAGGTGCAATTGTTTATATTTAATATCCCAATTTACTGTTATACTTTTTATTTATTAATTTTATTATTAATGCGAATTAAGAAATCATGTGAAAAGACTTAACGAAGTAAAATTTCCTAAATACCCCATCATCTAGGCGGTATTTGAGAATAAATTGCTTCAAATGAATTTTCACACGTATCCTTAAGATTTTTAGAATGTTTTGAGTAAGAGCTTGGGTAGAGGTTTTAAAGATTAAGGTTTCAAGATTTTGAAGATTCGGATTTTAGAGTTTTGGATTTTAGGATTTTGGATTTTAGGGATTTGGATTTAAGGAGTTTTAAAAACCTAGGATTTTGAAAATTAATAATTAGTGTTTAAGGTTTCGTTTTTAAGAAAATACGAACATCTCTAAAAATCTCCAACATCTAGGTGGATTTTCAAAGTAAGTTCGATTTTAATGATTTTTAAAAACTAATTAAAAATTTCTTATATTTCTTTTATGAAAATTTATTAATAATAATTCCTTAACATCTAGGCGAAATTATTTATTTAAAAAATATTTTTTATTCCCTCCAACATCTAGGCAAAAAATAATAATAGTAATAATAATAATTATATTTTGAGCATTTTTAATATATATTTTTAATTATTACTTGTTTTCAATTTTATTATTATTAAAACAATTAAATATTTATTTTAACAAATTTAAAAATTTATGATGCATCAATATGTATATATAAAATACTTAAAATAATAAAAATAATAATATATAAAAAATATAAAATTAAAAAAAAATTTTACTTAAATCGGACTGGTCAACGATCCGATCAACGTTGGTCTAGATCGGTCTAACCGATTTGACTATTCAATTAGTAGTTCAGGCAGTCTGGTGGTTCAGACCGGTTCGATCGGTTCACTGGCAGTTCGTTTGGACTGGTTCAAGGTTGGCTGAAGCGGGTTGGCGGATCAGTTTGAACGGATCTCGGGTCGGATTCGAGTCCACGCGCAGATCTTTCTTGGCTAAAATGACGTCGTTTTGCTCTTTAGTCTTTTATATATAACGAAAAAAAAATTTGTGTTCATTCTTTTCCCGTTTAAAAAAAAAAGGGAGAGAGAGAGAGAGCTCTGAGGGAGAGCTCCGGGCTCTCGTCGTCTGGTCGTCGGACCACCACGCCGGCCGTCGTCTGGGTCACCACCGGTGGGGTTGCCGGTGGCAGAAAAATTTCAATAATACTCCCAGAAGCGCTCTTCAACGCACTCTTCCTGAATCTAACATCCGTTTTACCAGAAATAGCCCCGATCAGTGTAGATTGGGGCTCAAAGCTTTTAGTCTCCTTTCTTTTTCTCTTTTTTATTTTTATTTTTATAAAAAGGACACTGATGATTTCTTTGCTTGTTTACAGGGCTTTCTGGCGTTGAGGTTCCTCCTTACGGGGAGGACTGTTTATCTTTGTTTTTTGTTTCTGTTTTTGCGTTTTTGTTTGGGTATGGGTTTGGTATGGTGTTTGGGGTTGTTGAAGGAAGAGGTTTGGAGGTTTTGTGGATATGTTTGAAGGTTTTTCGAGAGGGGTCTGTTCCTTGTCTGAGAGTTTTTGAAAAGAGGGGGTCCGAAGGTTTTTTTGAGAGGGGGTCTGAGAGAGAGATCAAGGGGAAGAAGTTGGGGGTTTTTAAGGAGTTCAAAAGGGGAACAGGTGGTGGCTATAAGGTGGCTGTAGGCTAGTGAGCGTGGATAGCTAGTGGTGGCTACAAGCTGGCTGGTGCCAGGCATCATCCGCCCTATTTTTTGTCTTTTTCTGTTTCTCTTTTTTGTTTTTTTATAAAATTAATAATTATTTTTAAAATATATATTTATTATTATTATTATTATTAATAGTAGACCCGAATAAAATCAGTGTCTACAAGAGATTAATTTTTTCCTTTCTTTTTCTCTCTATTTTTTAACATATGGTTTTTGAGGTCGTAAAATAATTGGGCGCCATACAATACCTTGAATCGGTGATGTTCTTTCTATTATGATGGGAAAGTGATCCTGTTAATTTTCATCCTCTTTTATATATATATATATATATATATATATATATATAGATATAAGGAGACAACCTTAAAAGATAAGGGTATTTATATTTACTTTTACTGTACCATTTTCTTTGTATTTTTCCAAAAAAGTAAAAGCAAGTCTTTGTTAATAAATTAATCATTCCTCTATGTCTATGAGCACGAGTAAATTTTGTTTTGGTTAATTAGCAAACTTGATTTTGTGTGATTGAAGTTTTTATAATTTATTTAAGAAGTCATATTTTGTTTAGTTTTCAAAATATACAGTATTTATGATCGAATAACATATTTTGTGGAGAAAATGTTAAATTTTTAATTTTAATGATCAAAATTTAATTTATAACATCTTCAAAAGTTAAAAAAAAAAAAATTGAAAAGAGCTCATTTACCATAAGAAACTAAAATGTTTGTACATAAAAATAAAAATAAAAATAAAAAGGAAGAGTAGCCAACATGGATTGATTGAATTGGTAAGATTTAAATATTTTGATTGTAAGTGATACGTTCAAATCTCATTATCAACGATCTCCTTTAATGAATAATCTTTAAATTTAATATACCTCCTCTTTGAGACTTACAGTTTAATCTTAGAACAAGAAAGCCTTCCCTCACCTTCTATTTTTTAAGCACCAAAAAATAAAAAGAAAATCTACTTATTACTTTGGTTTTTTACCTGGTCCATGATGCATTGCTTATTTTTCTATTTAAGGGCAATTAGAAACTCTAAGTTTTCCACACTAACAATGGCTTCAACGTTGAATGTAGGACTGTTCTTCTCCGTCTTCTTCATCTTCTTTCTATCCCCAATCAACTCTAAGCCCCACCCACTAGACTCCCTCACTCCATCCGAGCTACTCAAGGTTCGAGCCATCGTGAACCATTCCTACCTTAGCTCGAACAACAAGTTAACCTTCCAGTATGTAGGCTTAGAGGAGCCAGAGAAACCAGCTGTAAAATCATGGCTATCAAAACCCACCACCAACCCCCCACCGCGCCAGGCTTTGGTCGTCATCAGGCTCAACCAACAAACTCGTGAACTTATAGTAGATTTGTCAAAACGTTCCATCATTTCTGAGAAAGTCTACAATGGATTTGGCTACCCTTTACTCACTATTGAGGAACAAGAAGCTGCAGCCGACTTAGCACTCAAACATGAACCATTTTTAGCCTCAATTAGAAAAAGAGGGCTTAATGTATCTGAAGTTGTTTGCTCTACTCAAACAATTGGTTGGTATGGAGAAGAGAAGACTAAAAGAGAGCTGAAAGTCTCATGTTACTATTTGAATGGGACAGTTAATATGTATTTGAGACCAATAGAAGGGATATCGATGTCTGTCAATCTTGAAGAAATGAAGATATCTGAATACATCGACAGAGCTGTGGCTCCTTTGCCGAAAGCAGAGGGAACCGAGTATCGAGCATCCAAGCTAACATCACCGTTCGGTCCAAGTTTCAACGCTGCTCCGCCCACACCACCGGGCCAAACAGGGTTCAAAATTGATGGAAATACTGTCAGGTGAGAGTGTGAGACTAGCTATAGATCCAATTTGACTGATATTTTTAATAACTGCCAGTAGGGTTTATATCTTTTCCAATATTATTGTCTTTTATTTGTTTCTATTTCTAATAACCGATATTTTAAAATTTATATGTAACAAAATTTTTAGAATAATTTTCATTTTTGAAATTAATAAATAAATTTAAAATTATTAAAATTATTTTTACGTAAAATAATAATTTTTTAATAAATAATTAAAAAGTAATGAATATGATAGTAATATATCAAATAATTGATTTTTTAAAAAATTTGGTACTAAATATATTTATATAAATTTAATCTTCACATAGTTATATTTAATTATTTATTATTTTTCGATACTTATTTACATGATAATTTTTGTATAAAATAACAAATATTGCTTAAAAAGATAACAATACATTTATCATATAAAAATAGCATTGGAATTTTTTTTCATTAAAATTTTTGTATTTTTTCAGCTGGGCAAACTGGAAGTTCCACATAGGATTTGATGCTCGAGTTGGTCCAGTAATCTCTCTAGCTTCCATCTACGATGCTGAAATGAAAAAATACCGTCAAGTGATGTATAGATCATTCATCTCCGAGCTCTTCGTTCCGTACCAGGCTCCAACCGAGGAATGGTACCACGTAACATTTTTCGACTGTGGCGAATTCGGGTTCGGTTTCTATGCCGTTTCATTGGAACCCCTCAACGATTGTCCATCCAATGCTGTTTTCATCGATGGTTACTATGCAGGCCAAGATGGCAAACCTGTCAAAGTGTCAAATGTAATCTGCATATTTGAAAGACATCCTGGGGATGTAATGTGGCGACATACTGAGTCAGAGCTACGAGATCAAGAGGTTTATAATTCTTAATGACTCTTTTTTTTAGTGATTTTTTTTTCTGTTGAAAATTGACTTAACATTAACAATTTTGATGTGTGCAGATCAGAGAGGTGAGACCCGAGATTGGCCTTGTGGTGAGAATGGTTGCAACTGTGGGCAACTATGATTATATCCTTGATTGGGAATTCAAGCCAAGTGGATCCATCAAATTTGAGGTATGATTTTTTTTCACTTACAACTTTTTTTTTTTTTATAAATGAGTTTGTAAGATGAAAATATGAAAAAGAGATTGCAAGTACTAAAATTTAAAATTTAAAACTATTAATTATTATTTTTTAAAATAATTATATGAATAAATTGAGATAAATTTTATGTTGTACTTTTAATTTGTTAATATAATGTACGCTTAAAATTGTTAAAACTTTCCATGTCCATGCTAGAGTTTTGATAATTTGGGCAGTCAGGGTCTAATATAAGTTTTTCTTATGATCTAGGCATAAATATGATCAAGTTGATAAAATATATACTGAAACATTAAAAACGAATCCTTTTTTTATATGCCTGATTAATGAAAATGAAAATGAAAAAACGAATGAAGTTGATTGATTACTGCCACTACATGGCTTGGCTTCCTGACCTATTCGGAAAGAGTAGTCCATATCTGGTTCAGTGGTCCAATGGTCTATGGCTGCTAGGGCTTCCTCGTCCACTAAGAGACATAGCCTATAGACAGATTTTCTTGGGCCAAGAAAAGATTTATTATCTCTTCTTCGGTCCCTCTATCTTTATTGTACACCACTCGAGGATAAATTGTTTTATTTTAATTAATTTAGTCCTATCCTATCTGTTTGGCCTTTTTATACGTGGCAAACACGTTGTTCATGTTTTAACATCAAAATCATCTAGAACTCCGTTTGATAATAATAAAATAATAATTTATTGATTAAACTGGAAAATAATACATATTTTTCTGAATCTCTATAATTAAATTAAAAAGTTTTACATTCTTCCCCATTTTCGTTCTCACAGCCAACATAACATAATTGCTGTTATCTTTTTTTAATTCCATATTCGAATTCCTTCCACGTACCTAAAAGAAAATACCCAAAAGTTTCTATCTGCTCTCTTCCACAGGTTGGGCTAACAGGAGTGGTAGAAGTGATGGCTGTGCCATACACCCACATTGATCAAATAAAAGAGGAAGTCTATGGTACATTAATAGCAGACAATACCATTGCTATACACCACGATCATTTCCTTACATACCATCTTGATCTTGATATTGATGGTGATTCCAATTCCCTTGTCAAGACTAATTTGGTCACCAAACGAGTCACAGACAAGAACATACCAAGAAAAAGTTATTGGACAGTTGAACATGAAATAGCTAAGACAGAAGCAGATGCAAGGATTAAACTTGGGTTGAATCCAGCAGAGCTCGTAGTGGTGAACCCAAACAAGAGAACTAAACCTGGAAACAAGGTTGGGTATCGTTTGCTTCCAGGACCAGCCGTAGGGCCACTCCTAGCGGCAGATGACTACCCACAAATCCGAGCTGCCTTCACAAATTATAATGTGTGGGTAACTCCATATAACAAGTCTGAGAAATGGGCTGGCGGGCGATATGTTGATCAGAGTCGAGGAGATGATACTTTAGCAGTGTGGACCAACAGGAATAGGAGAATTGAGAACAGGGATATAGTGTTATGGTACACGTTGGGGTTTCACCATGTCCCTTGCCAGGAAGATTTTCCAGTGATGCCAACTTTGAGTGGTGGATTTGAGCTCAAACCAACTAATTTCTTTGAGTATAGTCCTGTGCTGAAAACCAAACCTCCTCACCATTTAAGCTGGCCTAATTGCACCGCATGATCTGGGGCTGTCCTTTAAAACCATGGCTACTTCATTGGGAATATAATGCCCATCCTATTTTCAGTAATAAAATAGAGTTAATAGCACTCTTACTCTTTCAACTTTAAGTTAAATTTTATTTTAATTTTTAATTTTTAAAAATTTTTAATTACTCAAAATTATTTTAATTTAATCCTTCCATTTATAAAATTATTTAAATTAACGATAAATACCGATAGATGTCATGTAGATAATGTCACCTCTTGTAGATGTGAGATTCTCACGTGATAAACGAAGGAATTGAAATATAATTTTATTCAAAATGTAAGGATCAAATATGCAACTATCTCAATATTTACTCTATAAAATATTAAATTTACAATAATTTTTTATATTTTTTATTGCAATATAATTTATTAGTTAAGTTTTTTTTTTTTGACAAAAATAGATATTCCAAAATTCAAATTAAGTGATTAAAATCGTTTTTGTAAAAATTCAAGTCATTTGAAAAATTATATATATTATATTAAAAAAATATTATTTTACTAATAAATCATAATAGAAAATGTTATTTTCTATCTACAAAACTTATTTTCTATAAAATATTAAATATTTTTTGTTTTCCTTTTCTAATATATTTTATCAAGAAGAGAAAAAGGGTCACAAAAGAAAAATAAAAATAATTAAAGAAAAAATATTTTTTTAGCATTTCATATATATTTTATTAAATATTATAATTTATTCTTTTAACTTTTATTGTGGCATTATTTATCAATAAAATACTATTTTTAATAGAATGTTTATTTTCAAATAAAACTAAAATATTAAGTAAAAGTTTTCATATCATTTTTTTGAAAAAATAAAAATTTCTATATCAGCTTTAAAAATTAGAAAAATTCATATAATTTTCAAATAATAAGTAAAACTTTTAATATCATTTTTAAAAAATAAATTTATTAATCTATTCCAAAATCTATTTTCTTTAAAAAATTATTTTTAATATACTTTTTAATTAAGAAATTTATGTTTAAATAATAAAAATATATTACTTTCACTAACTTGTTTTATTTTCCTTACCTGATCAAAGGAGGTAAGAGCCATTTTTTTTTTTTTAATTTTATATTAATATATAATTTTAATAAGAATACAATCAAAATAATTTTTTAATATGAAAAATATTATGAATACATTAATAAATAAAATTTTTAAATTGATTTGAAAACTTTTAGTTAATATCTTGAAAAGATATGAAATTTTTTATTTAAAATTTTAAATTGACATATAAATTTCTACTTAATTTTAAAAAAGATATGGAATTCTTTGATTAAAAGCATTTTAAAATTTTTAACTTAATTTTAATTTTTGAAAATTTATTTTTCGTTAAAAATATTTAACTAATAAAATATATTATAATATTTTATAAAATATATTTGAAATATAAAAAAATTTGAAATAGTAGCATCCTTGATTCCTAAATTTTAAGCGAAATTCTATTTTGATCCACCTATTTGCCACGTGAAATGAAAATTGCATCATACACATGTTGTCAACCGGTATTTATCATCAATTTAGATGGTCCATAGATAAAAAAATCAAAATAGGATAATTTTGAACAATTAGACATCCAATTAAAACATTTTAAAGAATAAATAGAATTTAACTTAAAGTTTAATAACTACGAGTGCTATTTACCTTCAGTGATACATTTCAGAGTAAATAACACTCGTGATTTTTAAATTTTGAGTCAAATTTTATTTTAGTTCTTAATTTTTTAAAAATTCTAATCAAATCTTTAATTACCTAAAATTTTCCTACTTTGATCCTTCTATTTACGAAACTATCCAAATTGATAGTAAATATTAGCTGGCACCATGTGAATAACATTAGCTAGCTAATGTGGCAAATAGAAGGACCAAAATAAAATTTTATTCAAAATTTATGGACTAATGATTTTTTATATATTTATTTTTATAAAATTTAAAATTTAAAATAATACTTTTATTATAACACATAACTTATTACTTAAATATTTTTGTGTTCTCAATATAAAATAGATTTCTAAAAATTAAAATTAAGCTAAATTTTCAAAATCCTTTTTACAAAAGTTTGTATCATTTTAAAAACAAATATTTCTACTTTTTATTAAAAATATTATTTTATACATAAATAATAATAGAAAATATTAGGTAATTTTGGGTTTTAGAAAATAGATTTTTTTTTTTTTGAAAAATAAAAAATTTTAGTGAAACCGTGTTTGATAATTGAAAAAAAAATTTGAAAACAAGAATGAAAAAGAAGTGAAATATGAAAAAAAAGAAAAGTTATTTTCAATTGAGAAAATAAGGGAATGTATAGTACTTTTTTTGACAAGTTAACCATATTTGAATTTTTTTAATGCCATTAATTAATAAATATATATTATATTTATAATTAGATGCCATTAATAATATTATTATTGAATATTTTATTTATTTCATTATTTTTTCATTTTAAAAAATAATTTTTATTTTGGTTTACCAAATACATTTTTTAGAAAATGAAAAATAGAAAATAAAAACTCTTTTCTAGAAAATGAAAATAAAAATAAAATTTTCAAACCAAACAAAGCCTTAATTTCTACCCAAAAAATCTATTTTCAAGAATATTTTGTTAAATATACTTTCTAAAAAAGAAAAAATTTAAAATTTAAAATAAAAACAAAAGTAATTAACAAAAAATCTTATTTTTAATATTTAAAATATAATTTATAAAATATTAAATTTAAAATCTAAACCCTAAACCCTAAAAAATTAAAATTAAGTTAAAAATAGAAAATCATATTAAAATTTTCGTATTATTTTAAAAAATTAAGTAAAAAATTTCACATCATTTTAGAAAATAGATGTATTAATTTATTTATAAATTTATTTTTTATCCAAAAAATTATATTTTGAATCGATTTTCTATTAAAATTTATATTTATAGAAAATAAAAATATTATTTTTAATAACTCGATTTTTCTTATTGGCTGGATCATAATGTTATGAACTTTTCTAATTGTCTATTTTTTAAATTTTTTATAAATATAATATTTTAATAAAAATAGATTCAAAATAAAATTTTCAATAGAAAAAATTATCAATAGATTAATATATCTATTTTTTTAAAAATGATGCAGAAATTTTTACTTAATATTTTAAAATGAGATGGAGTTTTATATTTGATTTTTTTAAATCGATATAGATATTTTTACTTAATTTTTTAAAATAATAAAAATTTTTCAAAGGGATTTTAAAAATTTTAAGTTAATTTTAATTTGTGAAAATATAATTCCTAATAAGAAAATTAAGAAAAAAAATTATATTACAATAAAATTTAGTATTTTGAATATTATATAGAATTATTTTAAAATATAAAAAAATCAAGATAGTAACATCTTTGGTCATTAAATTTTAAGTAAAATTTTATTTTTATCCTTCCATCTGGCACGCAAGAGGTCAGCTGGCATCATCCACATGGCACCCGTTGATAATTTTAATCAATTTAAATGGTTTTATAGAAAGAAAGACCAAATTAATATAATTTTAGACAATTAGAGATCTAATTAAATTTTTTAAAAATTAAAAATTAAAATAAAACTTTAATATTAAAATTAAAATTAAATATTAAATATTAATATTAATATTAATATTAATATTACATTTTAAATTTTAAATTTTAATATTAAAATTAAATATTAAATATTAAATATCAAATATTAAATATTAATATTAAATATTAAATATTAAAATTAAATATTAAATATTTTTTTCTTATAGTTATATATAAATGAATACGAATAAGATATGGATAATGAAAATAATATCTCTCACTGCTTGAAATTTAGTAAGGGTTTGAGTTATGATATCCGCTATCCAAAACTGTTAATCAATATTCCTTTTTAGTGCGGCTGTCCATTTCAATAGGTTTTTTTAAAGAGGAAAAACTTTCCATCTTTACAAATGGAGAGATTTAAACCTTTTGTAAATGTTGGATTTTATTTCATATTTAATTTATATGTTATTTTTTGTTTGGATACAAAGAAATAGGTTATCAATGTTGAATTTATTTTGTACTATTGATGAGTCTATCACTTTGGTTTTTAATAGGTTGAATTCGGATTAGAATTTTTAATCAGAGAGCTGCCAAATAAATAGTTACTAAAATAGATAATTAGAATATATTTTCAAACAATTTTAATTAAAAGTTATGGATATCTTAATATTAAAGAGTTTTTGTTAGGAATATTTAAAAATAAGCAAATATTCTACTCGTCATGTTAAACGAATCCTTTTCTAATAACAAGGATGGAACCCTGAAATTTTAGAAAACATATTACTTGTAATTCTTTTTACTACAATACTATACTTGTCTAATCAAAATAAAAATTTACACAAGGGTTCATCGTTTATAAATGTAAGTTTCACATAAAATTTTGATGGATCTCAAATTTTGAGTTGTAATTAGTTAATTGTATTACAACTATTATAAGTGATATGCTCCCAAAATTTTAAGATTTTAAATTTAAGTTTTATCTTGTTTAAGTTTAATCTAATAGTTTATTTTAGATTTATCTATCCATTTATATATTATTTCGTTAATTGTTTTTTTACTTGCTTTAATTTATTGATTTCTTATATGAAATGTAATATTATTATGATTATAATTTTTCTTTGTACTGATAATTTCATTAAAGTAAATTTGGATGTAGACGTTGGCATCCTAGTTATTTTTTAAAAATTCTACAATGCTTCTAATTATCTTAATAGTAAAAGAAAAAAGCTTTGCAAATTCAAATATTTTTAGAGTGCATTTAGATGAAAATATTTCAAATTTTTTGAAATGAAGATATTTAAAATTTTATTAATTTAAAATAATAACATTTGTAATAGAATTGTTTGGATAGATTTTTTAAAATAAATTTTGAGTATTAGAATTTAATGAGATAAAAGAATTAATTGTAAAAAAGAATAATGATGATTGGAATAGAAAAAGAAAAATATGTATTATAAATGTCCTTAGATTTGCAAAAAGATTATAGATGTTACCAATAATATGCAAAAAAATTAGATCAGCATA